GGAGGTTTTGGCTCAGAATCTCACGATACATGGCCCCATTCATTCTGTCCTTAACACGAATCAATCGTCCAGTCCCCTTAGCAGAAAAACAGCCCCAAAGCATGATGTTCCCACCCCCATGCTTCACAGTAGGTATGGTGTTCTTGGGATGCAACTCAGTATTCTTCTTCCTCCAAACACGACGAGTTGAGTTTATACCAAAAAGTTCTACTTTGGTTTCATCTGACCACATGACATTCTCCCAATCCTCTGCTGTATCATCCATGTGCTCTCTGGCAAACTTCAGACGGGCCTGGACATGCACTGGCTTCAGCAGCGGAACACGTCTGGCACTGCAGGATTTGATTCCCTGCCATTGTAGTGTGTTACTGATGGTGACCTTTGTTACTGTGGTCCCAGCTCTCTGCAGGTCATTCACCAGGTCCCCCCCCCCCCCCCCCCCCGTGTGGTTCTGGAATTCTTGCTCACCGTTCTCATGATCATTTTGACCCCACGGGATGAGATCTTGCGTGGAGCCCCAGATCGAGGGAGATTATCAGTGGTCTTGTATGTCTTCCATTTTCTGATAATTGCTCCCACAGTTGATTTTTTCACACCAAGCTGCTTGCCTATTGTAGATTCACTCTTCCCAGTCTGGTGCAGGTCTACAATTCTTTTCCTGGTGTCCTTCGAAAGCTCTTTGGTCTTGGCCATAGTGGAGTTTGGAGTCTGACTGTTTGAGGCTGTGGACAGGTGTCTTTTATTCAGATAATGAGTTCAAACAGGTGCCATTAATACACGTAACGAGTGGAGGACAGAAAAGCTTCTTAAAGAAGACGTTACAGGTCTGTGAGAGCCAGAGATTTTCCTTGTTTGAAGTGACCAAATACTTATTTTCCACCCTGATTTACAAATAAATTCTTTAAAAATCCTGCCATGTGAATTCATGGATTTTTTTTCACATTCTGTCTCTCACAGTTGAAGTGTACCTATGATGAAAATTACTGACCTCTGTCATCATTTTAAGTGGGAGAACTTGCACAATCGGTGGCTGACTAAATACTTTTTTGCCCCACTGTATATATATATTTTTTTTTTGTTGCAAAATGCAAACCACTTCTACCATGACGTTTAGACTGTCCCTTTGCTTCCAAAAATACAAACACAAATGCCTGACAAAAATATATCAGAAAATTATTAGGATCATCATATAATTATTACTAAGAACTAAGAGACTACTTCACAGCACACCAAACATGAAAGCATCTGAAAATATTCCAGAATCCTTAAGAGGGTTCTGTTATGTGTTCATGAGTGCCTCTGCTCTGACGCGCTGGTTGTGATTGAATGTTTTGAAAGAGGAAAATGCAGCTTTATCTCAGCTGTTTGCTTGAATGCTTTAATAAACTACAAAGGGAAATGTGTTTTTCCTCCAGCGTCATTAAATGCCCAGATCATTATATTAGAATGTCTTAAGGCTGTAGTTTACTGGTGCCCATTTCTTACCAGTAAAAATGATTTACTGTATGTTGCTAATATTACATTTTTACGGGGTTACATACTGTGTGTATTTATGTTAAACTCTGAACTCAACTTGGAAAAAAGAGAAAAACAAGACAAGCCTAAGGGAACATCTAAAAAGGTTGAAAGGAGGTAAATCTGCTAACGTCCTTGAGAGAAAACTGTTATTTAGTGATTTTGTTAGATTTGACCAACTTTACTCACTGTAAGCGCAGCGCTCCTGCAGTAAGCAGCTTTTGGCATAGGCGTCACTGCAACTGCGATTGGCCAAATGATGACGTGTTACTGACAAGCTACCAAGACATTTTTGCAGGCATGAACACATCTAGCTACACGCACCTGCTGCCATCTGATCGGCTGATTTGTAACTTGTGTTAAAGCAGCTGAACAGGCGTCTCTAGTAGATGGTGTGTGTGTGTCCTGGTCTCTCCGTCCCTTTGTGATTTTTCTCTAAAACCTATCGGATTTGGAAACTAAATGCTGCTCAGGTCTGTTTGCTGGAGAAGAGCAGATAAACACATAGTCTGTGGGTAAAGCTGATACTGATTGAGAGGAAAACAGGTAAAGACACTCAGGCCCTGTCCACACGTAGCCGGGGATCTGCCAAAACGTAGATATTTTTCTACGTTTTGGCCTGTCGTCCACACGAAAACGGAGTTTTTTCAGACGAAAACGGATCTTTTTAAAAACTTCGGCCAAAGTGAAGATCTGCGTTTTCTCCGTTTTGGGTGTCTGCGTGTGGACGGACAAAACCGGAGTTTTAAGGTCCGCAACGTCACTTTCCACGACAAAAAAATGCTGACATCACGTGTGCGACCTGTGTTTACACTAGCCGACAGCATGGATGCCCTCAGAGCTGCGCTCGCTTTATCAATTGTCCAAGCAGCACTTTTTGCTTGTTTGTTTTTGCAAGAGGAATTACTGCTCCTTGCGGAAGACCACAGACGAAGGACGAGGTTAAGAACGGGGGAAGTACTGCCGCCTACAGGTCGGGCATGTCCTTAACAACGTATTTATCCGGGTACGTGTGGACAGAGATTTTTTTTAAAACCAGGTGGTGTGGATGCAAGTTTTTGGAGGGGTGGATATTCGTTTAAAAAAAAAAACCCGGCTACGTGTGGACTAGGCCTCAGCTTCACCCATGATCACTCTTTTGACACATTTTTCCACAGAGAAAGCTGTGAGGGGAATTTTCTCACTATGTTTGGCAAGTTAATAAAAAAAACCCAGAATAATTTCAAAATATTGACACAAAACATGCCTGCATGTGGGCTCAGTGTCAGACACTTACTCATACGTGAATAAAGGAAAAAATCTCACGTTATCCTGAAAACGTGGGGGAAAAAAACCCTCCTTAAAAAGCAGTGATTCAAAATGAACACCTGCTGAAATCACACTATCAGGATTCATGACCACTCCCTGAAAAACGAAAGGTCTAAAACCTGACACCCACATCACAGACTTGAAATCATTACGTCATCACAGCAAAACCTACCCTTACAGTCTAACACGTCTTATCATCTGTTCCCTAAAACCTGTTGACACATCAAGTCGTTTGAAACGCGTGCTTTAAAAACTCAAACGAGCTCAAACGTTACTTTTACTTTTAGTAGCGTTACGTTTAGATCCCATCTCTGATCACAGCTGTGAAGATGTCGATGCGACAGAAACCTGTGCTGCTCTGTTAGTTGTGCTCAGCCTTGTTGTCGTGTGGCATGCAACACTTGTTTAGGGCTAAATACAAGCTCTTTGTCCCCCGTTGTTGACGTGCGTGTGTTTATGCACACAAGTGGTTTAAAGTCTAACAGGCTCGACACACGGGAGGCGACAAACGACCGCGATCAGCGAAATTTGTCCCTGTTGCTTTTATTACCTGTCACACGGGAGGCAATCCGCGGCAGCGGCCAGCGGCAAAGCCGTCTACGCGTTCTGTTCCGTGGCGAAATCGAAACTTCCGTTGTTTTGTTTGGCTGTGTCAGGTTGGAGGGAATTGAGGTTATTTAAGCGGTTCAGAGTTAATATAGGGTATCTGCAGGTTTGAGGGAGCCAAATTTAAGACTTTTTAAGACCTTTTTAAGGCCAATTTGACCAAATTTAAGCTTTTTTTTTTAAATTATTTAATTTAAGCTATAATTTCCAGCTATTGCCTGGAATCGGTCCTAACCATGTCGCGAACGTGGGATTAGCCATCCATTTACCATTGAACTTGCACTTCCCCATGGCGCAAGCTCCCACTAGCTTAACCAGCTAATGTGCTCATCTAAAAATAGCCCCCTTTCACATCCAACTGAATGTGTACGGTTCCGCTTACGCCAACATCATACACAAAAAATGCTGAACACTAACTAGAAATTCACGAAAAAGTCATAGAAATAAACTAATCTAGTTTATTGGGTCTTTGGTAATTTAAGACCTTTGGAAACTGTATTTAAGGATTATTTGTCATTTTTAAGGATTTTCAAGGCCTTAAATTTGGAAAAGCTAATTTAAGACTTTTTAAGGACCGCGGATACCCTGTAATAAGGTGGTAGATATGATGTTTCACAAGGTGCTGCTAGAGTTATGTGAAATATTACTTCTGATTTTACTATAAAACATAATAATAATCAACTTCTCCTCCATGTTTGCTCGGAGATGTACGGAGCATCCTGTCCGCTCATTGGTCAGTGAATGAAACCTCCGTTGATTGGTCCTCGTCCGAGCGACAGCGGTGAAAAGTTGAAAATGTTTCAACTTTCTGGGATCGCGTCGCTGGGTCGTCCGTGCACGGCACGTGCACGAGTGCAAAGTTTCACACGCACGTTTTTTGCGTTTCGCTTGGTAGGAGGGAGACCCGCGATTATCGCTTTGTCGCGCATGTCTCATTGAAAATGAGTGGAGGAGAGGCGATGTCGCCTCCCGTGTGTCGAGCCCATTAGAGGGGCCAGCTCAGTTTAAGGTGGCTTTATGACACAAAACTTTATTTTTAAAAGCACCTCAAAAACAACAGATAAGGTGGGCCAAAGTGCCGTTCTTCACCTATCTTTATGAGCAATAGCTGTTTTTTTTAAACGAGTGGAAACCATGAGCTAGTTGTCGAAACTAACAGAGTGGTGCTCGTTTTAGAGCAGGATTTCATAAATTCAAATTGAGATAAAAATAGTCTTCATATCCTGACTAGATAAGCTTCTGTTGCTCATCAGCTGGTAAAACTTTGCCCTCCTCCTCTGCTGCTGAAGCAGAGTTTAGTTATGATCAGATAAGACTGACTCGGGTTTCTCTTTGGAAACAAAAACCTGAAACGCTGAAATAAGGCGTAGGACCAAAATACTGATGAAACTAGACTTCTGATGTGTTTCCACAACCAGGTTCTGCTGAGCTCAAATCAGAGAAATAAGACTAATAAACCACAGTTGCATTAAAGCGTTATACTCGGGAACAAACACGTCTCACGCATGCATCTGCTTACACACATTTAACTCAGAGTGATGAAAACTCGAGTGTCTGCTTCAGGACTTTACCTGAATCTCCAGCTCTGAGATCTGCTGCTGGAGCTCAGCCATCGCAGCGATATTGTCAGCTTCCCTCAGCCTGACTGCCATCACCTCTTCTTTACTCTGAAGAGGAGAACATGTGTATTTTTTTTTGTTTTCAGGTTGTGCTTCACAGTTCATGCCACAACTGAGGCATGGTGGTTAATCACAGCAGAGGCCGTGTTTAGCGGTGCGCATCGACACCAGCTTGTACCTTGCATTCAATCTCAGCTTGCCTCCGCTTGATCTCCTGCAGCTGCACCTGCAGGTCTTTATTCTGCGTTGTCAGAGTCTGCACGCACTCCTGGAAACAGCGGCTCTCCTGCTCCGCACGCCGCAGCTGATTACTGTGAATTTGATTCTGAAGAGGCACACCAGGAAAAAATGATAAGATTTCACTTTACAGAGTAATTGGTTTAATGCCAGAAGAAACATCCAAACTCAGCTGCAAGGCTTCATGCTTGTCAGGAACAAGCTGTGGACGCCCTCTATAGGCTGATATTTGGTATTACAAGCACTGACATCTTAAAGACCGGCCCAACCTCTTTAACGTCTGGATCACACTGTGCGATTTTTGGCCATCTTTGCCAAACCCCTCCTCCTGAGCAGAATCATGACAAAAAACGGTCAACATGAGGGTGATTTGCATGTATGTGCACCACCATGCTGTGAACGTACCGTCTGTCTGGCTCTGCGACAGCTTTTTGAGCCATCTCACGACCAAATCAGCCATAAAAAGTCTTCAAGCACTGCTTGAAATCCTACTGGTCCTGTCTGCAGCCGACCAATGAAAACACACCTTTGGGACGCCGCCGCAGCAGCAGCAAGACTCCGCCTCTCTGAGCTTTGGTTTCAATTTGTTTAAAATGCAGATCACAAACTACACACCAGTTTTTATTTCTGCTAATAGCCCAAGTTAACCAGGAGTTATACTAAACATAATTAACCTACATTTGTAGACCATCAGATAAATTGTGAAAATCGTGATTCTGTGATCTGTGAGTGCCGAGAGGAGACGAGCTCACATACGTAAAAATTAAAACACAAAAATATAAGATCCCTTTGCTGTTGGTGGAAATTTCACACATTCAGCCGATAATGATTGTTCTGTGGCGTTTTGCTGCAGAGGGACAGAGGGAGCTTCGTGACAGCAGGTGTGATGAGCTCACGGAGCAGTGAGACAGAATTCACGGCAAAAGTTTAGATGCTGCAGCGATCTGTGGCAGATTGTCACTTCACATCACTCCAGTTTTACAGTCCCTCCACTGGCTCCCGGTAGAATATAGAATACAGTTTAAAGTTTTAGTCCTGACCTATAGAGCTCTTAACAACCAGGCTCCAAGCTACCTATGAGCTTTTATCCCCACACACCACCTCTCGGAGCCTTAGATCCACATCTGAAAACCTCCTGGCTGTTCCTCGAACCAGACTGAAAACCAAAGGGGACAGGGCCTTTCAGTCTATTGTCCCCAGACTTTGGAACAGTCTACCTTCAAATCTCCGTCTCTCTAACACTCTAGAAATCTTTAAAAATCATCTAAAAACTCACCTTTTCATCCAGGCGTTCCCTCCCTAAATGTTTCAGAATGATGGCTTTGTTCGGGTTCACACCTTCACTTTGTTTATACTCATGATTTTATTTTCTACGTTTATCACTGCTATTGTTTTTCGGATGTTTTTATTGGTTAGAGGTATTTGCCCTGATCTTTATCATGTTGTACAGCGCTTTGTGATTTATATCTGTGAAAGGCGCTAGATAAATACACTTTTACTTACTTACTTCTCTGTAGGTTAGTGGGTTCTTGTGTATAAAGGCGAAGGATTAGAGCCCTGCACTGAAGCGCTATGCCCTCGGGTCGGGCTTCGGGCCAACAACTGTGCAATTACCTCGGACACGGGCCAGGCCGGGCGCCTTTATTTTTAATCGAAATCATTAAAAAAAATTAAAACACTTACACGCAGCAGTAGAGCCCTGCGCGGGACTGTTTTCTTCATCCCTCTCCTGCCCGCTCCCCCTAAATTTCTGACCATTACAGCCTGCAACCGCAACATGTGTGTTACACTCCCGCCCGCACCTGCAGCGTGCATGTCTACTCCCGCCCGCACCTGCAGCGTGCATGTCTACTCCCGCCCGCAACCGCAAAACTCGGAGAAATTATTACCTCACAATAAAAGAGATGTATTGAGTTTGCGTCCTCAACATGTCATTTTATAGGTTATCCGCTTTCACCGCAGCGCTGCGCTCCGTTTCAATCAGGCTGTACAGCAGGATTTCCCCTCGTAGCGATATTTTTTCTAACTCTGATTGCTTCATGCTATAGATCGTTGGAAAGCTGCTTTTATGTACTTTTAGGAACCGTTGGAATTATTTGAATCTGATCAGCCATTCAAAAGTTATAAAACGGAGCATTTTGGATGACAAACTCGGCACGTCTCTGAATCTGTGTTGTGGTTCGTTGCGCTCAAGACAGGGAATCCCGGTGGCTACCGTAATGTATTGTTTATGCACGAAAAGCCCCATTTTTAATCTTTTCAGCACTTTTGGAATTTTAATGATATTTTGAACTAGAGCAGGGATCGGCAACCCGCGGCTCTTCCATCCATCTGATGCGGCTCTCTGCTTGTAAAATAATGAATGGATATTTAAATAAAATGCTTTATATTTTACTGAATTAATTTTATATCTGTAAGTCAATTCTAAATGTAAAGATTGTCTGCGTAAACCTGAACAGTTCCAACCCGGTCTTACTGTGAGACCGGGTTGGGTCACGCTTGTGCGTAATCATAGGCGCTCATGAGCTGAAGAGGATGTGAGATTCTGGGCTTCTCCTCAGACGGCTCCTGGATGTGTCGCACTTTGGAGACAGGAACAAGCGCTATTCAGCCAAAGTTTCATCATCAGGGAACATTTTCTAAGTGACAAGTCTCTCTGAGAGACAGGGTTTGGAAAACGCTCGCTTCAGTGGGAGGAAGCTTCCCGCATGCGCTTCTGCGACGCTCGGATCCTGCACATCTTTTAACACATTGGTCAAGATTGACGCACTTTGTTTTCATTTAGTTGGTTGAAAAAAAGTCGGGCTTGGGCTCGGGCCAGGCCAGAGAATCCTGAAAACCTTTTCGGGCCGGGTCGGGCTGGGGCTCCACCCCCTCGGGCCGGGCCGGACACGGGCTCAGATTTTAGGCCCGTGCAGGGCTCTACGAAGGATGAACAACCAGCAAACAGATCAGCTGTTTAGCTGGAAGACAGGAAAAGGAGACTCGCAGCCGGAGTCTGACGCCAAAGTGAGGGTTTTAAAAACGAAGCTTCCTCTTTGAGGAAGACGAGTTGGGTTTTATTTTTTCAGCTTTGTTTTGGTTAGCGGCCTGCTTAGTGGCGTATGCTTCGGGAGGTGCGCTCATGACACAGCGTGTCCTGCTGGAGCGAGACGTCGTGCAGTCTGCCTCACTGAAACCATGCGCCGTGCAGTGTGCCACCTTTCTGGAGTTCTCAGTGTGACATGAAAAATCCTGTGCGACGGCCAAAAATCGCACCGTGTGATCCGGGCTTAAGACTGGATGAGATAACAAGACTTTAAAAAAAGAATAAGCTAAAAAAATGCTTGAAGACTGAACAGTGTGACCTCTGACCTGCGTCTCCAGCTCCAGCATCCTCTGCCGTGTTTCTCTGAGCTCAGCTTGGGCCTCTGCTTCACGCAGCCTCACGCTCATCAGCTCGTCCTGCAGCTCACTCAAGGTGTTCTTCTTGGGGCTGTCCTTCCAGCGACTAGCGGTGCGTGCCAGGTGTCGCTGCCCGAATAAACGAGAACATTGACCTGTACAGCTTTGTGATTGCATGCAGCATTTGCGTTGTCAATTTACAGGTTATTCCATCTTATAGCGTTTTAACCATGCTTTTGTCACTGAGCCTCACCTGCCAGTGGTCTTCCAGGTCTCTGACCTGCTGCCTCAGCTCTTTTAATCCAGTCACAGCCTCAGCTTCTCTCAGCTTTACCCCGATCAACTCTTCCTGCAGCCGCGCCACGTTAGTGTCATCGGGTAACGAGGAGTTTCTCTAAAGACAGGTGGACACAGCAAAAACCAAATGTTACTATATGTCTAAATATAAAGGTGTGCTTGCTAAAACTTGAACACTAGTATTGATGATTTAATTCCTTTCATGTGTGGAACAATGTAGAAATTAATATTTGGTTGTAATGAAACTAATCTGAGACTTTCTTTACGCAGTCTACGTATTTCTCGTCAGAGACTCATGAGCAGAACAGAGACGTGGGTTTATGAAAAACCTCACGGCTGAGTGTTCTGATATGAGAAACAATAAAGGAACGTCTGTTCAGGAGAGTTGAGTCCAAACTTTTGGAGATGAGAACTGAGAAAAAGCACCCTACACCAGTGCAAGTGTGTGTTACCTTCTCCATATCAAGGATTTTATCTTGCATTTCCTTGAGCGCACACTGAGACTCCGCCTCCTTCAGCCGGGCCTGCACCAGCTCTTGCTCCAGCTGCAGGACCGACTCCTCAGAGAACCGAAGGGGTCCCTTCTGCAACCAGAACACAATGGCAGTAAGCACCGACAGCAAAGCCAATCTACCAACACCTATACCTGTGTGTATACACCTGTGTGGATTCAGTCCTTACAATGTCTAACCATCAGCTGCATCAGCTGATCTTCCTCAAACAAACCGTCAGCAGCCAATTACACGCTTCCCCTCACTGCCTGTTCACACCAACCCTTTGCCTTTTTATCCACTCTCTCCTAAATCATTTATTTATATGCATTGTTAAACAAGATGAGCAATTATGTAAAACATGGTTATGTCGACACATTATCAACTGGAACCAAACCCTAAATAATTAAGGATGTTAAACGCAGCAGATACACGCTGAGAGAACAGGGAGCCAACATGTGAACCCCCGCCCAGTCACTGTGACGACAGCTTACATACCCATGAACGTTTTTCTAAGACGGAGCTTAAAGAGCAAGTCACCCCCTACCAGAGTCTAACTCCACTCCCACTTCATGTTTGAAAAATGCAATAAATGCTGTTGCCTAGCAGACCGAGAGGGCTGAGCCACTAACAAATACACACACACTCAGGCTCACGACAGCATTGTGACATCATAATGTACCAGTTTACATCATAGCATACTTCTTAGCCAATAGCGGTGGCAGATTTAAATTAAAATACAGTGCAGAGTTTTTAATAAACTTTTTTTTGCTGATAAACTAAATAAACGAGTGTCTAATCGTGCTGCAGACACGTGTCGTCAATAGTTTTGCACTTCAGTGCATCTTAGTTAAAATTTAAATATTCTGCCTAAAACTGTCAGTGTTGTGCCGTTGTCAGGTAAAAACTCTGCACTGTATTCTAATTTAAATCTGCCACCGCTATTGGCTAAGAAGTATGCTATGATGTAAACTGGTACATTATGATGTCACAATGTCGTGAGTGTGTGTGTATTTGTTAGTGGCTCCACCCTCTCGGTCTGCTAGGCAACAGCATTTATTGCATTTTTCAAACATGAAGTGGGAGTGGAGTACACTTCTTGTAAGGGGTGACTTGCTCTTTAATATGGCCGATCGGTGTGAAAATCTGAATTCATGCGTGACAAAATAGATTTTGCCCCAAAACCAGAAGTGAGAAGGGAAAGAGGCAAAGACTTCAACTATGTAGATTTTGTTCCTCGTGATCGAATTACTGTTGAGCACAGGAGGACGGTCACCCTAAAGCCAGTTTGTTACTGGGCTGAAACTGTTGGTGTTAAACCGCGAATGGCATCAAAACATCCAAAAATGTTTGAGGGTTCTCCGTTTCCTTGCGTGAACCACAAAACCCAACTCTCACGTCACTGGCATCATGCTTGTGTTCAAAAACATTGCAAAACAAATCACCACTCCAATTACTCACGGGGCCTTCACAGACCTCTCCAACACCTTTGGTAAGTCAGAAAGTGTGAAAAATGTAAGACAACCAAAACACAAATGAAATTGTGAAAATAGGTGAGAAAATATCAACACTGTATGAAAAAATTGCGACGAGTAAATGTGTGCAACTGTCTCAGTCTTTTTGCAGTTAACGTTATTTACCCTACATGCAAAGCGTTTGTGTCACCAGCAGTCATGGACCAGTGCAGACTCCAGGCCTACTGTCAGCTGGTAAGGTTGGGAGGTGACATATTTTGCAGAAAAATTTTAAAATAACAAAATAACTGAATAAAACGTTGCTGTTTAAATGACGTACAGGAAATTAAATAAGATAAAAGTGTTGGTGGTGACAACCCTACTCCCTTCTGAGTGACAAACGGGGAAAATGAGCTGGTGTGACGTCAGGAAGTGCCGCACGGTGCACAACATAATGAGCAGCAATGCTACTGGAAAAATATATATTTTTAAATGTGCACTCATTTCCTGCTTGGACAGCTTTTCTCTGTTTTATTGAGACATTAGCGGACAGAGCACTCTGTCAGTGTTGTTCACCATGAAACAGCTGCTGATGCAAATGTTTTACTGAAGCCTCCTAAAAAATTGAAATCTGGGTATTTTGTATATCTTGTGAATGGTGCTGCAAAAAAATTTTACTGACTATTTTTGAAACAACAGAAAACAACTTTAAAAACTGTTTTCAGGAAACAAGCAAAGTGCGCAAAGTATGTATTTTATTAGGTTCAGACAGGTTAAACAGCTGTATAAGTACTGCTACCCGGTAACGTTTAACCTTCTAGTGATGCTCTTGTTTACACGAGCCATACAGCAGCACGGTGTTATTGTAGGAGCCATATGTGTCATTTCTGTTTGCGCACTTGAGAGGAGGCTTTGCCTCATGTTGTTGGTTAATTGCTTGTGGAAGCACCAGCCTACTTAAGCCAACACAGATTGGACTCAGGTGTTGCTGGATGGGACAAACAGTTTTCTACTGTGTGGCGAGGACTGTGGCTGTGTGTGACGGACTCTGTGGACTGTCATTGGGGCAAGTCAATTGAAAACCACTTTAACTGCTGTGAAAGGATCATGGACTTTTTGGAAGAAGACAAATAATAAACATCATCAGAAATAAACACAAGCTGCAATTCTTTTAAACACACGTAAAGACCGCCACCCGCATCAGTAACCAGTAGTGCCAGTGTATAGGGCATTGGCGCTACATTTCAGTTATTTTATGAAGAGGAGAAACAAATAATGATTTTCCTAATTCAATGAGTTATTGTTAAATAATCTGGGTTCCACAATTTACCAAAACAACCCGGCTTCTGATTTTTACTTATTTTAAGCAGCCCTAATGCAGGCGTCATGACGACACTAGTTTAACACTATCATTGGGACTATAGTTTGTGTGTTGGGTTTATATATGTTAAACCAAAAATATAGTAACAATAATGAAAATTATTCTATGTCTCTGCAGGCCTAAACTACTCCTGCACTAACAAACGTACGAATTGAGAACTAGGGATGTAAGAAAATATCGATATGGCAATATATCGTGATATTTTTTCCAGCAATATTATATCGATATTCAAAAGCTGTGTATCGGAAATATCGAATATGGCAATATATCGTGGTTTTTTTCCTGCGATTATTACATCGATATTCAAAAGCCGTGTATCTAATCTTTGAAAGAATTTACATGCAAACATTTGTGTATTTTCTTTTCGTTTTGTGCAATTCAATCGCCACCCGCTAGTTGGCAGCAGTGTGCAACGGGTTTTGTTTCCACCATTTAAAATGTAAATCCCTCCATCATGGGTCAGATACCTCATGTTAAACATGTTACGTATCAGTTTGGACAGTTTATTGAACATTCTTACAATAAATTCAGTAAAAAAAAATTGCTTGTAACGTCTGACTGAATGTATCGCAATATATCGTGATGTATCGTTTCGTCTCCCCTGTATCGTGATATGTATCGTATCGCCAGAATTTCAACAATACACATCCCTGTTGAGAACCATGCAGAAGTAGTCATTTATTTTGGTAGACTGATGCTCAGGACACATTTCTATTGTGTGTACCGTCGTGGAGCCCTTTACGCATGCTAAAAGCCACGACTTTGTCCTAATGCAAACACTATTGGACTGACACCGGCCAGGTGTGACAGCCCTAACTAATAGGCCATTCCCATCTGTACCGGGTCGGCCCGGGTCGGGTAGCGTAGGTTGTTTACATATCTGGGTGGCCTGGTATTTTTCCGGGCCAACCAAGGCTCATTCTCGGCCCTCTTCTCGAGGGGGTCTGCTTCAGGCCGACCAGGGCCAACACACCCACTGCTGACAGCAAATTCACACCTTCCATTAGAGCAAGCCTCTGATTGGTGGGTAGAATCAGCCCACATGGGCTTAAGGCAAGGATGTGTGGAATCAACCGGGCCAGGCTGGGGCCGACTGGGGCTACCCGGTACAGATGGGAATGGCCCATATCAATACGATGGGACACCCCTTCGCAGTCAGACCTGGAAAGAGTCCCAGATGTGATTATGTCGATCTTGTCCTACACTCATGAGGACCAGAGCAAACTCATCCAGCCAGCGATGTTTTCCGTTGCCCTTCTTACCGCTCGTGGTTGCTGCTGCTGCTGAAGCTGTCTGATGGTATTCTTGGCCTGCTCCAGCTGAGCACTGGCCTCCTCGCTCTGCTGTTTGACTGTGGTCAGCTCCCGCCTGACCAGGTAGTTTTCCTCCGCCTCTTGAGCTCGAGTCACTTGTCCCTTTGGACATAAGCAACCGAGGAGGAGTTGAGTAAGCACGACAAGAAGTGAAACGGACAGGTGGAATGGGCGGGCAAATCACAGAAGAAGTGGGAATGGGGTTTCTAACATGACATGCTTGGTTTAAATCTAGCAACAATGATTGAAGTTAATCCTTCAGTTCTCTTCAGCAAGGTTTGAGATGCTCTAATATTATGGTATTCCATGCACTTAATGTTAAAATAATCTGCATTAGCTCTTTTTTTATTCGAATCACTGGATTATGGATCTGTCTGTCCATCATTCTGCTAATTGTAGGCATGCAATGCAAAAGAGAAAGTGGGAAAGAAGAAGAAAGTTGTGGCGATAAAAGGAAAACAAAGAATATACCTGAATCAATCTATCTGCCAAGGAAGCACTTTCCTACAAAACAGAAATATAAAACAGAGACAGCAGAGAGACAATCTGAAGAACGGGTAAAAGCACACAGAAGAACAACTGATCATTTTAAAGAAGAAATGCAATGTTCATTTTCCCTTCAGATATAGCGCTTTATCCGCTCTATAATGACCTTCATTATCAGGGTTGAAAAGGAACATTGCATGCAGCAAATGTGGTGAGAAAAGCCCAACAAAGCTGGGGACAAAGTGAAGAAATGAGTGGTGCTCCTAGAGTGAAGGTTTCAGACAGAACACAAAAACAAGTAACCAGGGTTCAAGCTGCTAAAGCAGCACTGGAAAAGCTGCGGGACAGTTCAACTGAGCGGACACGCTGGCGTTTAATGAGATTCTCCGAGGTTTTTAACTGCTCTAGTTAATGGCATTAAAAAATAAAAATGGAACAGAGACGTGTCAGCGAGCAGCAGCATCCTGCTTTTTAAACGACTTGTTTAAACGTCTGTGCTGATTCCTGCAGGCAAATGCCGCCGAGACAACACCAACCCTTTCTGCGGCACCCCTCATGCGTGGTGCAGCAACGGTGCCCGTTCGCAGACGCAACGTGGCGAGGAACCACCAGTGCAACCAGCCATGCAGTGCTTCAAGACCCTCAAACATAAGCAGATCCATTCACATTTCATTCATGCTTGTTACAGTTTCTGCCTCGGTTAGTCTGCACTGCAGTTTAGGACTGAGGGAAAGAGACATCCTGACAACCTGCAGTCACAATTAACCAAAGTCATCAACAGCGTGCCATGGAAACAGGCAACTCGTGTCCAGCTTACACAGCCCAGTTAGTGGAAGAAAGGCCTCCGGCATCAGGAGACATGCGTGATGCAAGACCAGAGAAGCTGGATGGATTAGAGGAAGACGTGCGTCTGTCAGGTGGTGAGGCACTTGTGACAACCTGTGTTGCACCCACCTTTTCTAGTGTGTCTATTCTTTGTTTCAGAAGCCTGTTTTCTGTCCGTAACCTCTGAAAAACAATTCACACAACACATCAGATAGGCCACATTTAGCTCTGTCACAACATGTTAAAGTCCTTTATATTGTTAGAGTAGCATGATGTGTTACCCCGGGTTTCCACGGGAGCCGCCAGCAGCACGTCTAGCTGCTGCTTGGCCCTTCCCACGAGACGCAAAGCAGCAGGGGAGCAGCTGTCACCGACCGAGCACGAAGTCACACGAGTGACTTCGTCAGTAAACACAACAACAAGCAGGAGAAAATTACAACATGGTTTGTGTTTTATGTTCTGTCTGTTTTATAATCGCCAATACGGACCTGAAAAACAAAGGAGACCGCTAGCTAGGTGATAACTTCTCACGGGGCCACACAGTTAGTAACCTTTTTTAAAAGTAAAGCAACTGGAAGGCAGTACGTTCTTTATTCTGAAAATCTCGGGAGCTTCTCTCCATTTCCGCGTCCGATTTCCTGTCTTTCCTTCCCCAAAAATATCGAACTTGACCCGTTTCAGAGGCGTCGCGCGTAGAAAATAGAACCGGCGCGTAAAGGCCGCGACATGCTGCTCCTGAGACGCGGCTGACCCGCGCTGCTGACGGCTCCAGTGGAAAAGGTTCTGTTGACCACAGCGGTGCCTATCAGCAGCTATGACATGCTGCTGCAGTAACGTGCTGCTGACGGCTCCTGTGGAAAGCCGGGGTTAGACTGGAAGAGATTATTCTGCCTTTAAAAGAGAAATAATACACAAAACCAGTACTTTTTCTGTGCTTAAGCATGCGGTCGAGTATCAGAATCTGACACTTGTGTCACTTACATTAGAGGTCATGATTTTTAATGAACACACACCTTTATCTCCACCTGCTCTTCCATCTCTTTTGTTTTGATTGTAGTGTAATCTTTTTCTAACCTGAGAATTAAAAACATTTCAAATAAAAGTCAAAAGTGACTTGAAACAAATTATTTTCAAAACTGAAATGATAAATTCCTATTAATCCAATATACGGCGGCATAATCCGGCCACGCAAAAGGTAAAAGAACAAGAGAGAAGGTTTTTTCTTTTGTTTTCAAATGAGATTAAACTGGAAAAGTTGAGAACCCGGCTGTATTGTTTCAGTCAGAGGTCAGCCATTACGCTGTTCTTTTTTTTACACAAAACATGTGTTTTTTTACCCTGACGTGTTTCCACTAATGCATCTAGTCGTCAATGCCTCTGGAGTTATCCGCCACCAACACCGGCGATCTCTGATGATGACTAGAGGCATTAGTCGAAACATGTCAGGGTGAAAAACACATGTTTTACTAAACTGCGTAAAAAAAAAGAACAAAGGAATGGATTACGAAGTTGAACACAGAACGAGCGTACAAAAGAGTCAGAGGTCAAACCTTAACTTCTACAGTAGTGTCAACATTGAAGAACTTCCTTCAATTCTTCGCTATAAAATTTAAAACCATCAAACATAAAAAAAAACCAATTAATTATTTTTATTCCCAGGTAAAACTCAAACTGCAGTCGTGACCACTTAGAACTACAAAGTTTTTACAGGCTGACTTCATCTTCAGATTTAGGTTATGATGTGTGAGCTGAAATCTTTCTTATAAAACCTTGTCGGCACTCCGCAATCACAGACTGGGACAGTTCAGCGGCCAGGCTACCGGGAAATGTCTCAGCACGTTCACCGCTAACAGCATGTTCCAAAAGTGGTTTCTCTGGGGATCTAGGGTCACATTATGAAGTGAGTGGAGTTTATCCAGGTGGTGATCAAATCCAAGCATCTTATTTCTGGGTGGAGGGAACGGCTCACAAAACAGGGTATCTGCAGTTTTAAGGGAGCCCAATTTAAGACTGTTTAAGACCATTTTTAAGGCCACTTTGACCAAATTTAAGCTATTTTTAAACTAAATTTAAGCTATAATTTCCAGCTATTGCCAGGAATCGGTGCTAACCATGTCGCGAACGTGGGATTAGCCATCCAGTTACCATTGAACTTGCACTTCCCCATGGCGCAAGCTCCCACTAGCTTAACCAGCTAATGTGCTCATCTAAAAATGGCCCCCTTTCACAACCAACTGAACGTGTACGGTTCCGCTTACGCCAACATCGTACACACAAAAGATGCTGAACACCAACTAGAAATTCACGAAAATGACAAAAATAAAATAATCTTGTTTATTGGGCCTTTGGTAATTTAAGACCTTTGGAAACTGTATTTAAGGATTATTTGTCATTTTTAAGGAGTTTTAAGGCCTTAAATTTGGAAAAGCAAATTTAAGACTTTTTAAGAACCCGCGGATACCCTGCAAAAATAACTTATATTTCTGAAAAAATGACATCTTAATAGTGCCAACTGTAATATGTTATATAGTGTGCCTCTGGAAGGTGTCAAATAGCAGCAAGGCTATAACCTTTAACCTCAAAAGTGGGACACAAAACATTCTCCTTCTCATCCTTTTCATTTTCTTTTGAGACGTTTTACCACACCATCTTGGTATCTCAGGTGAGCTTACTTCTTCATTTTCTTAGCATTGTATTTAACTTGATATGCAGCCTGGATGACCTTATCTGGTCCACTGTCCAACTGGTGTGGGATGACCTTCTGGAAGTGCTAAAAGAGCATAAACAAACAGAAGGAGAATAAGTACAACACAGCCTGTTGTTTAGCACTCTGGCGACTTCGGAGCACTAGAGTTAACTCATTCACTGCCAATGACGACTAAAGTCGTCATTTGCATTTTTTTTTACTGTTTGAGCATCGGAACGAGCCCCCGCGCTGAGAGAACAAACATCTCAGCTCTAAAGCCGATCTTCATCCGCATACGTCACAGATCACATGATCAGGAAGCAACACATCCATGTGTTTGGAGATCGTTTTGGGCCGTTCCTGTAAAAAAAGCGAGGAGCGAACCGGAAAAGCGTCTGCCATCACAATTCGACAACGGATTATGAAAGAACGGATAACGCTCGAAACACGCGGCTTCTTCCTGATGTAAGAGGTGAGTCTCCGCTTTGTTTTGGTTGTTTTGGCATCGACATCATCCTAGCGCGCAACGTTCTGTGACTCTTAAAAAAACAGTAAAAACGGTGAGAGACGCTGGCAGCGAAGGCCGTTAGTGATCAGGAAACGGCTGGCAGTGAATGAGTTAAAGTCAGCACATCCATGGGTATGAGAAGGCAGCACACATGCATCAATTACCTGGGTGGGGTCGAGTTTCCTCCATGAACACAATGCGTGTAATGAACCTTAAATCTGAGCTAGCTAAGAGAGGAGTTGTGTAATGACAGTCTACCTGTAACATTCCCTCCATGTCAAGCTGGATGAGTTCAGCCTGGTTCATCTGCAGGATGGCTAGCCCCACACGGAAAACGATCTCCAAACCCTGAGGACAAAAATGCCCAAGAATGAGAGGCAAATAAACCCCAGAGTGTGGTTAAGTGTTTTATTATATGTGCATTAAAATATGTCCAATTTATTAAAAACTCTTTACAATTTAATGTGAGTTTAACCTTTCTCCAGCAGGAGGCAGTAGTGCATCAGCTTTCTGTGACGGTTATCTGTTTACCACTCTTTTTTTTTTTTTTTTTTTTTTTACAGGCAGTCATTCCAAACATCCTCCAAATGTTTATTTATTTATTTATTCTTGAAAAACACATTTTTAAAATAAAAATCTAAAGTTTTAGCAGAGTCTGAGGGGTGAAAACTCTAACGGGTGAAGGAAAGCGGGGATGCTCCCGGGCTTCTTTTCACTGACCTCACACATAAATATATCAAAAATCCTGGTGGCAACAGGCAACGGAAAGGAGGTGAGGAAAATGGTGAGGAACCACGAGGAGGCGTACATGGAGGTATGAAAGCTCTGAGCCTGGAAATGTATGTGTAGCTCTGGAAGCTGCTCCTGTACACAAGAGTCATACGTGTTTCCGTCATTTACACCAAACACCAGTGTGAACTGGATACTCAGTCTAATGCGTCTACCTGGATCATGGATTCAAACTGGTACATGCAAAGTCCCAGTTCAGCCATGCTGGGTTTGAAGAGCTCCCGTAACCTGTAGTCTTGCATCAGCTTCACGAACACACAGAAGGCCTCTTCTTCTGGCATCTAGAGGAGTAAAAAGAACACATTCAGTTATGAAGGATAGAGCGGTACTACTAGCAAGAGAAAGGGCAAATTGCTGACTTTATGGCCGGGTTATGAATGGATTTGTTACCTGCATGAGCAGCAAACCAACAATGAAGGCACTTCCCTGACAGTATCCAACCTCGCGGTCCACCAGAGAATAGGCCTAAGGAAGAAGAGATTAGCTTACAAGAGGTTTAAGCTCATCTGAAGCTTAGTGTATCTTTTTCACACCTAACTAGTAATACTACGTAAACATCAGTCCTACAGCGCATCCACAGGTTCCTCAGTAACAGCACTTCTTGTACCTTCATGACATTGAAGAGCACTTCTTGTCCCAAGCTGTCCTTCTCCTTAAAGAATTCATGTTCAGGATAGGTGCGAGCGATGTCTCTTCGTATTAACTTCTCACACGGCGATGTCATCTTCAGGAGCTCTGAGTACTGATCCTTGATGGGCATATTCTGGGCATTACACAACAGCTGCCACACGATAGCCCGGAAGTGGTGAGGAACACCTTTTCTCACCAGATCCTGCAGAGAAAGATTGCAAATGTTCGTGTTTTCTCCTGGGCAGCAGCGGAGTGGGCGGAGTCTGTGTTTGATGTTATTTAACAATAGGGATGCCTGAAAACTGAAATATTGCGATATTTCGCCCGACGACAAAGAATGGATATTTAAAAGCAGTGAATCAATTTTTCTACTGAGAATCTACATACAAACATTTACTCTTAATTTTGTGTGGTGCAACTCAAACTCCAACTGCTAGGTGGCAGCAGGCGTTACCACCTTCCTTCTGAAGGAACCGGATCTGACAACACTTGATGTGCCTCGGAAGCTTCTGGCTTGGGTTTTCAAATCAAATCCCGTCTTAAGAAGAGAAAATATCATTAGTCTTTTAGCAATGCTACAAATCATATCGCCACCCCCGTACTTCCATCCATCCATCCACTGTCTGAACCCGCTTCGTTCACGCTGGGGTGGCGGGGGGTGGGGGGGCATCAGCAGTTTTGTTAATAAAGTCTTGTTTGTTAAGGAAAATGTTTTCTTTATAATTGTAATTTGTTAATAAAACACCATATTATCTTTGTTTTGTAAAGAATGTGAAACTGCGTAAAACCAACATCGGACTGACAAACAACAGAACAGTTATATGTGAAGCCACATCTGTTTGTATTCATGTGGAGTTCGTCTGTATATTTCCTTAGTTGCTATCTAAATACATTCTTTGACTCTAAATATTGCTTGGTGTCTTTCAATAAAGTTCTTAGATTTTATTTTGCCCCATTTCATCAACATCAAGAGCTTTTGATGGTCACCGTTTATCATGTGCTTATATTTTACATTTCCTTTAGAAATTCAAACATATTTTCCCCATTAAGTGTTGATTTTTGGACTACAGGACTACAACCGCTAAGACTACAACCGCAAATTTGTTCTGACCAATCAAAATCATTACGTGATAACGTCACTTCCGTAAGCTTCATGTTCAGCCAATCAACTACTTTGACGTCATCGGCAGTCGAAGGACCCCGAGCCGATCCTGCACCCGAGCAGATCCCGTACCGACACCGGAGTACCCGGAGAGAACCCACGCATGCACAGGGAGAACATGCAAACTCCATGCAGAAAGATCCCAGGCCGGGAAGCGAACCCAGAACCTTCTTGCTGCAAGGCAACAGCTCTAACCACTGCACCACTGCGCAGCCCACCCCTGTACAGTCATAGAGATCGTATCGCCAGATTCTTGCCAGCACACTCCCCTATTTCATGATAAATGCTGACCAGTAATAATAACAGTGGGAGAAAAAGGCTGCTACTGATGAAGTGCCATCTACTCTCTATGTGGTAAAGAGTTTTAGTGGAGAATCCACTTGATCTGCTACAACTAAACAGAATTATTTCACTGAGGAGGACTTTGATCCAACACCTGTAGTGGACACTTTGAAGTTTGGCAAGAATGCAAAAGGGGGTCCAGCAGCACCATTTATTTTTACAGCAGAGCCTATTTTTACAGCTTTTCTCCAGACTGGTGAGAATTCTCTTCATTTAGCTAAGGTGTGCACTTTTACATCCCTGCAGCAGCACAAAGACCATGACTGTGTGAAACCGTGGTGAGTTTAGCTTTTATTTTAAATCCAGCCACGAGGAGATTAAACACATATTTGGTGTCCATTTTTGTAACATCTGGATTTGGACCAAATGAGGAGAATCCAGTGGCCATAATAATAAGATTTCTCTACAGATCAGCAGCTCGTAATATTATAGCTTCTACTGCCAAACTTCATTGTCATGGAGGATCCTGAAACGCTGATTTGTTCCAATGAATTGTTGCTGATACAAGTTTATTAAGCAATTTCCTCTGCTGACAGAGAACACTGCTCTTCCTGCAGTATCTGGTTTTGTGTGTGTGTGTGTGTGCGCGCGCGCGTGTGCACACTTGCATCTGGTCAGTCTCCAGGGTGCATCTGGAGCAGAGGTCCACCCACAGACGAGCAGTTGGGGATCCCGTTCCCTCAGCAGAGGCTGGAGGAGACAAACTGTGCTTTGTTCTGTCACAGCAAAACTGACTCTTTTATATCTTGAATGTTGAACAAAAGCTGCTTTTGAGGCCCTTTGACACTTTAATCGCCCACTAATTCCACTCCCACATAAAACGTAGAGACATTACATGTTCAGGTCTAAAAGCTAACAGCCCCCCTCCAATGATTATTTATTTATAACAAAACTATTCCCGACACCCAGCAGGACTGCTTTCCATTTCAAATGAAATAAGGGGAGTGAAAACACGAATAGAGCGGATTCAGGTTCTGCTGACAAGGACGGAATGATGAAGTTGTCTTCCTTCACACAACAGAAACATTTCCTCTGGAAGGCAAGAGGAAGAAAACATCGATCCTGAGGAGACCTCCTCAGGAGTTATGAATAATGCTCTAGTGTCAACAACCGATTCAGATTCAGATTCAGATTTCAGATTTATTGGCCAAGTAAAATTACATTTACAAGGAATTTGTCTTCGGTAGATGTTCGCTCTCTAAAACATACAACAACCATAATAAATGAGAATAAAAATACCTAAAAACACATAAGAACATGTATACCCACACACATGTTCATTTACACACACACCTATATACATATATACATACCCACACGCACGCACGCACACGCACACACACACACACACACACACACACACACACACATCCATAAGCATACTGAATAAGTATTAAAAACTATAGTAAAAGGATGGTAAAAGAATCTACAGATTCAGGAGAGAAATGGCTGAAGGAAAGAAACTGTTCTTGTGTCTGGTAGTTTTTGTGTACAGTGATCTATCGCGTCTGCCAGATGGGAGGAGATGGAAGAGAGTAGATGCAGGATGTGTGGCATCTTGGACAATATTCACTGCCTTTTTCCTGCTCCTGCTGATGTACAGGTCCTGGACAGAGGGCAGTTGGGCACCAATGATTTTTCCTGCTGTTTTAATAATACGCTGTAGTCTGCATTTGTCCATTTTTGTGGCTGACCCAAACCAGACTAGATTACTAAACCAGATTACTACTTCTGTTAAAACACTGATGACACAATGCATGCTCACAGGCTCTTCACAACACTTCCCCACTGACACACACACACACGCAAGTACTAACATGCGCACATGCACTAAACTACCCTTCCCATCTAAATAAATGTTGGTCTTTCAGTCTCGTTTGCATGTCTTCCTGCACATGAGGTCTAAGTCCACACATGATATGTATGTTAGCTAAAGTTGGCTGCCCCCTCCCCCTTCCAGGAGTTTCTAGACAGAGTTGTGTCCCATTTGATGCTTGAATGATTCAAAGAAACAATCTACTAAGTTTTATGAAGCGGTTTAAAATCAGGAAACTACAAGTTCCTGCTGCGACGTTTAAGACTCGTCATTTACATAAACTAGAAGTGCAGTTTCAATCTGCCACCATTGACTGGGAACAATATCATCACAACACTGCACAGACTATCTGTAAAAAAAACAAGCAGCCTAAAATTAGAACCAAATGTCAAGAACTGAAATAAGTTCAAGAGCAACAGCATGGGGCCACCCTGCACAAAGATAGCCTGAATAATTATCTCTGACTAGTAAACACCCAAACATTCAAGAGCTATTGAAGCATTTGGCCCAGAGTCTGATGCTAATGCCAGAAACAACACATTTATATAAAACAACAGACCACACTCCTTACTTCTGAACTGGTATGGCCATCACCACAAAAAAGTTATCATAAGAGCTCCCGCTCTTTACCTGCAACAGTGAATTGAGAATGGAATAGTTACAAAATGGTTTTAATAACAGTGGTAACTAAAGCCCCCTTCAGACAGGCCATGAAAAACGGAAATGTTCCGGAATCTGCCCGTAAGACCTTTCTGTCTGAATACAAACATCCGGATAACGTGTTCCGGAATTTATCCGGACGAAGCCCCTAGTAACAGGTCCGGACTTGTTACGGACAGGGTGGCTGCTTCAGACTGGTGAGGTAAAGTTCCGGACAAGAGGGAGGGGGAGGAGGAGGGGACCGGGGGACGCTGTGCGCACCTATATAGCCCGCTGCTGTAGCATGCGGCGAACCACGGCAGCTCGCCTCCTACGGTACCGCCTAGACGCGCGACGGAGCGCTTCACACCGCTTCAGTGATTCCTTTAACCATTGAGCTTCATCATCCAGGTCTCTTATGCGTCTTCGTGTGCGCAGAATTATGCTTAAGCGCCTCGTGATTTTTATCTTGAGAGGCGCTATAGAAATTATATTTTCTTCTTCTTAACATAAGTCCGATTCCCCACCCCACCCCCCGCCGCCGTCAGACATCTGGAACTTTTGCCTGCTGTGTGAACGCAGCCGAAAGGACAAGTTCCGGTACAAAAGTGGTGTGTCTGAAAACACAGTTCCGGTTAAAAACCGGATTGAATTGTCCGCAAATGTTCCAGAATGTCTGTCTGAAAAGGGCTTAATAGAGCTGAGGAAAATAATCAAATAATCGATGCATTGGGGTGCGGACATAAACGATTCTGCATCGTAGAAGAGTACGCCATAATCGATTATAGTGGAATGTAGTTTTGTTTTTTTTAACGGCGGCTCCAGCGCAGCATCCAAATCTGTCAGAGTGAGTGTCCACATTTACCAAGTGGTTCCGCCATAATGTGGTGCTGCAGGGCTGAGCGCTAGAGTTGTAACCTGAGACCGAACCGGAACCGAATCAGCCCGACCGGTTCTGTTGGATTTGGGCCGTGAATTAAGTTAATTGAGCGGGTTGCCATGCGGCGCGCTCCGCTCGCTCGATCAGCGACAGAGAGAGAGAGAGAGAGATTGTTTGCTCACACAAGAGAGAGGATCGGAGGACGCGCATCCAAACCGATGCTCCAAACACGCATTATTATTATCATAATTTCATTATTATTTCTCCTGGAAGCGCTCCGCCAGACCGAGTGTTGTGATGCGGCCTTGGGGAGCTGCAGCGTGATCGACTGTCTCTTTAATTTAGGGCCACGGAGAAGTTAAAAGGAGAGAGAAATAGAAGATAGAAGTTCTCTTTTCCACTTTATTCTTTTGTTTCATGATGATAAACTGATGTTAAATTCAGCTTAAAGAGAAACTGGGAGGAAGCTTTGGTTCCTTTTAAGTTACAGGAGATCTTGTTTCCTATCTGCTCCTCCAGAGACAGCATGGACATGAGGGTGAAAGGGTGAGGGTCACACAGGACAGGTTAGTGGAAAGGTTTGTAGCTAGCTGGCTAGTGAAGGAGATCCATCAGCTGGGTAATTTAATCCTAATCCAGCCTACAGCCTTCTGCTGGTGTTATTATCAGAAAGAATAAAACACACATCTTAAATATTATTGGGAGTGTAGAATTTGTTTCATGTTTTATTGTTTTCTGCATCAAACAGAACTTGATTCATTCTCCAACATTTCAGAAACGAACCACTGGGTTCAAATAAAATAACAAACTAAGTCAAACATTTCATTTGGTGTTATTTCTGACACCCTGTGGCATAAATATTTGACTCTAGAGCTGCTCAGAGACATTAAACACTCCTATATGAACCCATTGTGTATTTTATTATTACATTATGTGTCCTGTAGGTTTTCAGTACTTTTTTAGATTTTGTGAGATTTTGCAAAGCGTGTTTTCTCAGCCTGAGGCGTGGTGTTGAACGAGGAAACAGATGCTTTACTTTGTTAAATCTTAAATGTTTAAATGTTTTGTCCTAACCTGATGTGAATTTAGAGCTTTTGAGGGATGGCAGGTTGTGCCAATTACGTTTTTGATAAAAAAAAATAAAAAAGCAATTATCTGACATCTTCTATTTATCGATGAAAACAAATCAATATGAAATAATCGTGATGCATCGGGATATCGAATCGAATTGAATAGTTGACCCAATAATCATAATCGAATCGAAAGACAAGTGAAGATTCACACCTCTAGTAACTAAAGTGTTAATTAAAAATTTAAAATTAATCCAGTGTCAAAATCAAATTTTGTGACTAGGGGTGTAACGGTACGCTAAACTCGTATTCGGTTCGGTTCAGTGTTTTGAAGAGCTCGGTTCGATTCATTTTCGGTACATTATGATAATATTTATTTATTTAATATCTGAAGCGGCTCCTATAGTGAGCAGAACCAGGTGTCATCACAGGCTGCTAATCTTGCATGATGTATTTCATTATTTCACAGGGTATTTGCGCCACAGACATATATAAGTAGATGCCCCGTGGACTGGTGCGGTCTATTGGAAATGCCGCAGTGGCCGACCCCCATTTCACATAGATTAGCCCCCAGTGCATTCATTTCTACTGTGGAAAGTGCTTACCCAACTAAAAACCACATTTTATCAAGCTTTTTCACAAAATCAAACACAAGGTACGGCATGATAATTAAGATGTAAACATAATTGAATAAAAATAAATATTAAATGTAAAATCCTATCAGGTAGGCTAGAAAAGTCACTAGTAATCCAACATGATCAGTTTTCAATAGTACGCTGGTTGTTGTAACCGTAGGCTGCACAGAAACGGGCATAGTTACTCACTCTGCATTGACCTTGGAGAGAGAGGAGACCCATCCAACATGGCGACGATGCTGTTACACTCTCCAGCACCCAATGGAGTGTCTTCGTATTCATGATTTGTCTATGATTTGCGCAGCACACTCATACAGACGAGTGTTGTGTTTGACGTGTTTTTATTTCTTAAAAACTCACCTCACACCGCCCAGAGTTTCTTCTTTAAAATTTGTATTAAATAACAAGCGTCCTCTGTGCCGTATTTTTTGTCGTAAGATGAAAAATTTACATCAGTTGTCACAGTGGAAAAGCTCAGCAGACACGTTTGTTTACATTTTTGCCGCTGCGTGCCTGCACACTGTGAGAGAGGAAGGGAGAGGCGACACAATGCTCTGTTCAGAGTCTCTACAGACTCCACAGAAACAGCCAGCGAGTCAACTGGTTTGATCCGCTCTGAAAGACGTTGATCAGAATTTGCAGATCACATTTCTTAAACAGAGATGCAGTCTTCATGCGTCACTCATTAAGCGCCCGTGCAGAACTTGCCGAGGAACTTTCTTTCGGTGCACTTAAATCACGCAAATGTGTGAAAAATTCATGATTTAATGGAACAAATAAAAAGTACGCAAGTGGACCGAACCAAACGGTTCGAATGACCCCCGTGAACCATTACACCCCTATTTGTGACATCTGTATGTAAAATCTACGGTATGGTTTTGAAGGTCCAACAGATGTAGCATTCCATGTGAAAGAGCATTTGAGGGTCTTACGCCTCCAGAGAGACCACATCTGGAATTTAACTGTATTAACATCCTATTAAAGTCTTGAGGGAAACTATATTGTTTCCCTCTATTATGTTGAATCCATTCCACAGTTTTCATTGGTACACTCAATCCATCCACTCAGTCCAAATGTGTTTCACACATTTGTATTTTACCGGAATGTTTCATCTATCTTGTAATTTCCATTTTGTACTTTGTAATTTGTATTTTGTAATTTGAATTTCTTTTATTGTTGATTTATTCACTATATTTACTTAACTGTACCATGTTCAGCGCTTTGGGCTTCCTGACAGGGTTGCGGAAGGCGCTTTATAAATAAAGCTTTGATTGATTGATTGATTGATTGATATTCAAGACCAGTTTCTCCATTTGTAAAGTTCAAGGTAAAGTAGATGTGATGAGAGAAATTGTCCTCTGATTTGGCTGCTACCCTACAGCTGATGTAAAATTAGCTAACGTTAAGCCAGCTGTGATACTAGGAACATGTTCATACTTGATAGAAATCCTAAAATACCGAGCTTTTATGTGTAATGAGTCCAACTTCCACCTTTACTATTCTAACAGCATCAAAGACACAACTTCACTGAAAATAACGGGATTCATAATAAAAGCCACCAGTAAATGCATCTTTCTTACATACTTAAAGGAACATAAAAACAATGAACGTGATGCTGGATACATCATGTTTTAGTCCTACCGTCGAACATCAGCCCATAGAATATTAAACTTATCCTAATATAGGGCTGCACAATATATCGAAAAATTATCGTCATCGCGATAACAGGACGTGCAATAGGCCCATCGCAAAACACGGCAAAAACAGCGATAAATGTTTGGTTCAAACATTTCCATCCGTGTCATACATCAACTTTTTGTAAACCAGCTCTGTTTTTTACGCGGAAGTATTATTTGACCAATCAAATGTAGTCCTTCTGACATGCGGCCAATCAGATGGTTCCGTTCACGTAATACGCCCGCCCCCTACATAGACCCTTTTGGAAAGCAACACCCGAACTGAGTTAGCGGCGCCGTTCCCTTGTTCGTCTTGCTGGCTCAGAGCAACGAACGCACTTTGTGCTGAGGTTTCTGGATTCAGCGCTGCTTTCAAACGTGAACGTGACTCCGCTCGGTGTCGGTAATCATTTTTACCGGGCCGACTCCGACAAGTGGCGGTGAACCAACCCACCTTCATGTCGCTAGTGTTAGCCCCAGGCTCCGGTTAGCTTCCAGCTAAAAGGCTACAGCCCCCCCCCCCCCGCTAAAGGGGGCCTGGAAAAGTTCCCCCACACATCAAAATGATTTTTCCTTTATGAGCTTTTATAACCTTGTTAATCAGGATAGTTGATTTGCTGCTGCACATAAACTGTCAGTCAGAAGCTCTGCTAGCCGGTTTTCTTAGAGGAGCTAGTTCAATTTGTTAGCTTGTTATCAGAATCATAGTTGCAGTTTCATCATCTGAGCTGATTTTTAAGATCTAGGTAAACTTGTTCAATTTGGGGTTAAAAACAAACGTTTTCACATATTTTCCATGTAGGTCTCACCTTAAGCTGCTTCTCCTTTTTCTTGCGCACCTCCTCCCACTCATTCACAATTCGACCCCATAGGATCCACGTGTCCTCCTCCAGGTGGGAGAGATTGGAGGAGGCAGATGAGCTGGACACAAGAGAGGAGCCACTGTTTCTCCGTGATCCATTCATGGAGCACCGCGACTTGATGTCAGTCTCCAATAGCCTGTGATGGAGGTAAAAAGAACATCTTATTACATTTGAAATAGCAAACAGGGTTAGATCATCTTATGAATTGTTAAGTGCAACATTTAAAAATACAACAATCTAAAATATTAAGATTATGTTCATGGAACAGACCAAGACCTAAATTGTAGCAAGTTTCTGTCGTCGCCTACACTCCAACAAGTTCAATATTTAAATCAACATAAGAAAGAGAGTCTGCGCTAAATCTTGCAAATTGTCAAAATACAAATAAACTTCTCTCGGTGTTTAAATCAAACATGCCAACATTTTCACATCTGTGCTAAAAACTGTTGGTGCAAAAATCATCTAAGGGTCTGATGGTATGTTCCTGAGATAAATCAATCCACCAGAAACCAAGTTTTATCTCTAATTTAGAAAAGGGATTCCAGGACAAAACCAAACACAGACACTGTAAATCTAAAATTGGGCCATAAGTCATTTATTGTTACCTATTAAGAGATCAGAGTGATTTCAAACAGTAAATAGTCAAATGGTAATTAAAAAAAAAAACCTCTATCTGCTTATATGAGTTCTTACAATAGACTGAACGTCAACACCGATCGGATTATCTTTCTGTTAGCAAGTTAGCATTGAGTCACTTTAAATGAAACCACTAGAGGTAACTTAGTGAGAATAAAAGCTTGAGCTGTGTTTTTTAGAGGTTTATGAGCACAACATAATGTTTTAAAAGTTTTCTATTGTTGGAAATTAACTAATGAAGAAACATAATGCACTTTATTTCCACATCGATAAAACTGTAACGGGACAATAACAGTTTTGTGGAACATGTGTAAAGTTGCACATTTGAATTGAATTCTTTATTGTCTTTATGCATACACATAACAAAATTTGGTTGGTAGCTCTCAGCTTAAAGAGCACTAAGACCACAAACAGAATGATAAAAACATGGAGTAAAAAAAAAGAACAATACATAACCTTCCCTTTAGGGAGCCATACACACACACTAGTAAAAGGAGTACAAAAGCTAAATAACATTTTGTTACTATGTGGATGTAATCTAAAAATAGCTAGTAGTTTTATTCATCTGCATGTTTAAAGTTTTGTAGTATTTTTGTTTGCTTTACTGGCCAATATCCACAAGTTAAATACTCATAAGGCATTGCACTTGAATTTTTTCACTGAACAATGAAGTAAACTTGAAATATTTTAATGGAAATAAAATGGTCTGTTGTGTTTGTCTTACAAAATTAAAGCATTTTGCTACATTTTTTCATTCTTTCGGAGACCCATGAGCCGACCAGAAAGAGAATTAGGCTCCCTATAGAGCTGATGTGCCTTAATTGGCAAAAAGTTAAATCTTTGTCTCAGCTGTCCGTAGGACATTCTCCCAGAAGCTTTGTGGCTTGTTAACATGTAGTTTGACATATTCTAGTCTGGCTTTTTCATGATTGGTTTTCAACAATGGTGTCCTCATTGGTGTTTTTTTCCTTCTCTGTATTCTCAGCAAAGAATGGGTCAGTCTTTGAAGAGAATTGTTGTATCTAGCCAAGTTCTATCAATGGCGTCCACAGTACTGCTTTTTAGGCAAATTTGGTGGAGTACTGTGGTTCAAAATCACATTTATTTTTATTTATTTAACCAGGAAGGCCCATTGAGATAAAAAAAAACTAATTTTCAAGGGAATCCTGGCCGAGAGGCGGCAAAAGTTAGTTACACATTTTTCAGTTCCGCAAACATGTCATGCACAAAATTACAGAAGGCAGTCAGAACAAAGGGAATCTGTTTCAAGGGCTCTCAGTCTGGTTTTAAATGTAGTCAAGGAGATCAAATCTGTTAATTTCCAGTTTTCCTGCAGCCTGTTTCATGCAGAAGGAGCAGAGTGAACTTAAGCCCTTTAGCCCAGTTTTGTGCGAGTAAACGGAACACAAAGTAACAACTGACTGCAGACTGTGAGAAGTTCCACTTCTCCATGAGATTAAGGCCCTGTCCACACGTAGCCGGGGATCTGCCAAAACGTAGATATTTTTCTGCGTTTTGGCCTGTCATCCACACGAAAACGGAGTTTTTTCACACGAAAACGGATCTTTTTAAAAACTCCGGCCAAAGTGAAGATCTGCGTTTTCTCCGTTTTGGGTGTCTGCGTGTGGACGGACAAAACCGGAGTTTTAAGGTCCGCAACGTCACTTTCCGCGACAAAAAATGCTGACATCACGTGTGCGACCTGTGTTTACACTAGCGGGCATCATGGAAGCCTTCAGAGCTGCGCTCTGTCACTACCCGATCCATCAATTGTCCAAGCGCTTTCTGCTTGTTTGTTTTTGCAAGCGGAATTACTGCTCCTTGCGGAAGACCACAGACGAAGGACGAGGTTAAGAACGGGGGAAGTACTGCCGCCTACAGGTCTGGCATGTCCTTAACAACGTATTTATCCGGGTACGTGTGGACAGAGTTTGTTTTTAAAACGCAGTGGTGTGGATGCGAGTTTTTGGAGGGGCGGATATTCGTTTTTAAAAAAACCCGGCTACGTGTGGACTAGGCCTAAGTTACAGATGTAAGTGAGTAGTAATCCAAGCATGGCCTTATTAATGAAGATGTACCAATGTCCCAACCTCCTGGTGGACATAGAAGGCCATCCCACTGGAGAATACAATTCACAATGATGGGTCAGTGGTCTACAGTTAGTAATAAACCTCAGTGAGACACGAACCACATCAATCTTACCAAAACACTGTGCTAAGGCATTCATATTCAAAAGGTCTCCATAATCCAGAAATGTTGCAGTAACTAGTCGTTGTTTGCCTCAAAAGGAAAACACAGTGTATTTTGAAAAAAGAAACCCAGCTTCTTCACAAGATTATCTATATGGGGCATGAAAGAGAGGGAGTCATCGAGCCAGACATCACAATTTTAGCGTGATTTTTTTTTTTCTCCATTTGTATGTTTGGACGACCTCTATGATTTTTCCTTCAAGAGTGGTCACTGAGGGCATACTTAGAGGTCTTTTTTTTAGAATTTGAAAACAACATTAGCTTAGTCTTGTCAGCACTGAGGACTGATTTTAACTGCAGAAGTGTTTGTTGGACCTCATTAAAGGCTTTCTGTAAGAATTCAACAGCGTTAGAGGGGGATGTTCCAAAACAGCAAATGATTGTGTCATCAGCGTAAAAGCTATTAGTATCTGACACATTTTGTCAACGATATACATAATGAACATGAGGGGTCCCAAGACTGAACCCTGTGGTACTCCCTTGTGGACACTCAAAAATTCAGAGGACAACCCATCACATTTAATGCACTGAGTTGTGTCCTTCAAGTAGTCTGTGGACCACAAAATTGCATGTTCAGACAATCCCAAACAAAGGAGTTTTTGTTTTAAAACAGCATGGTCCACAGTGTAAAGGCCTTTGACAGATCAATACAAAGTGAAGCACAGTACTGTTTTTTATCCAGAGCAACAAGTATGTAATTGATCACCTGTGTAGCTGCAGTGATGCTGTTGCACTTTTTTCTGAAACCTTGACTGCAGACTTGAGAGAAGGTCCTTTGAATATAAACAGTCTTTCAATTATTCACTTACTAGGGTCTCTAGAAGTTTTGCCAGGACACACAGATTAGATATTGGTCTGTAATTTGTTAATAGAGCTGGGTCACCACCTTTTAGTAAAGGAAACACAAAAGCAGACTTCCAAACATATGGTATTTGTCTGTTTTTGATAGAAAGGTTAAAAGAACTGTAAGAGGCTCTGCTATGAAATCAGCAGCCATTGTCAAAAAATAACGTTCTACCATGTCTGGACAAGATGGTTTTCTGGGATCCAGAGTTTTAATAATTTTATGTATTTGCTCCACAGTAAACCGAACAAAGTTAAAAGAGGCACCAGGGGTCATATGGGAATCGGTGCAGGGGGACACAAGGGGTGTTCCAGTAGAAGTAGACACTGAACCAGATGAGATTAAAGGCTTGTTAAAACAGTTTAAAACCTCAATTTTATCATAAACTGGGACAGAGTGGTTCAGGAAAAATTTTGGAAGAGCATGAAAATTTAAGTTGACAGATAAAAGACTTAATCACTTTCCAAAATGGAAATGACAACTAAAGAAGATTAGAACCTAGAAAAAGCACACAGAGGAAAGCAGCACTGACCCTGACCTGTATGGCAGTGAGGAGCTCGTGACAGATACAAAGGCTCAGACACTTGATCGTGGAAAAAGACTGAAGCCTTTCCTCAGCAGCTCATGACGGTGCACTGAGCACACTCTAAGAAAGGCTAGAGGGGTTACTGGCAAAACTGGGCCAAGTAGGAGGGAGTGAAACGGATAACCAAGGAGAGGAGTGAGCAACAGAATTTTTCCCTCTAATTAAGCTTCGGCTCAGACATAAAAACTAACACCCAATGGTAAAAGTTTGAACAAACTGATTGTAAAAATCATGTCAGGTGTAGACTTTTTATGGAAGAACCAGAACATAGTTTGGGCTGGGCTAATAATTCACCACTAGTCAAACAAAAGCAACGCTTCTTGATTCAAATTGTGTTTAAAAAGCTAAAAACCTTATTTTATTATCAATTTTGAAGTAACAAATAGTCATTAATATTTTTAATTTGACAGCTTGTTGAATAAAAACAAAACATCATTAATCAATTTTTTAAAAGCAAGTAATAACTTAATTATGTTTTGTTAATATTCTTTAGAACGAGTGACAAACCACCACCTTACCAAGAGAATCTGGTTTCTAGGGCTTCTGAAGCTTCGGTACGACCGAGTTACAGACTGTGGTAGTCAGTGGAGGACTTTGTTGTCTGTGTGGTACTACAAACGCTCAAGACTTTTATCTGCTGTGTAACGTTCAAAGGTCTCCCCAAACACACACACACACACACACACTGTAAGCAACTTTCTGTGATTTAAACTTAAACACCAAAGTCCTCTCATGGCGCTCTTGTCTTGGATGCAACATGATTACACAAAATGATAAACTCTTAATACTGCCAGTTAGGGCTGTCACAATAATCGCAAGAACAATATATCGCGATATTAAGAAACCCACCGCGCTGCATGACGTGCCACCGCAATTACCGCACTTGATTAAATCTCGCGACAGCGCATGCTGAGAGGTAAAGTCTGCGCTGATCGAGGAGATAGTAGGGCACTTTTTTTTTTATTTCTGTTAGATGTTGCAGCCAAATTTGCATTTCAAAGTTAAACCTCCTGAATGTTGTTTTTAAGTTCAGTCAGAGAATGCCGTTACTGCCCTTTGATCTGCATTCAATAAAGTGTTAAAAATGGCCATGTATTTTTTTCTAACATTTTTTAAATGTGTAAGCACAATGTTTCAAAGGAAATATTGCCATGAGTTTAGTAATTAACAAACAAATTTGCCAAGTACATAAATAAAAACGAGGTGCAATAATATCGCATATCACAATATTGAACTGCCCTGACTCACCGCAGGGGGAATTCCTCAATCGCGACAGCCCTTCTGTCCTCTGTATTTAGGAGACACACAGCTTGATATGTGTAAGCTGATGACATGGAAAAAAGCCCAACAGCAAAAGAATCCAGCCAATGCATCTTAATCTAGAAAAGAGCTGGGTGATATGGCCTAAAATCAATATCACGATTGAGGATTTCACTTCAATATCGTTAAATGGACAATTACATGTAAGCACAGAAACAAAAGCTGTCCACTAGCTGGGGCTGTCACATGTATCACGTTGAGTGATGTTTTCACGTGACACGGGAAAAACGATATTGGTGAAAGCCAGAAATTTTAACCCTCTCAGAGTCAAAGTAAGTTTTGATAAAAGGACGAACAACTAAGTACTTCAGGGGCACTTCTGAGTAAAAAAATGCTCATGAAATACGTATGTGGAGTAACCAGGTAGGTAGGTTTTAACTAGGGCCCGACCGATATATCGGCCGGCCGATATAGGGGTCATTAACACTATCGGCTATCGGCCAAAAAGACGGCCGGTATGGCCGATATTGCGCTATCTATCCAGCAGATGGCGCCAGCTTTATGAACTCCACAGACTCAGAAAACAAAAAACTTGAATGTTAGATTTATACTGACTGAGTTTGTGTGTTCTGTTGTTTTTGAGATAGCAAAATAAATCTTATTTGCATTACTTGGAAACCCTAGTGAGTTATTGAGACAGTTCTCTGGTGTGTAATATAGAAATAAGTTAGCATCAAAAAGGCAGAGAATGAAGGGTTTAATCTTAAGAACATTTGTATTTATTTCCTTTTTTGTGAGGGAGATTTATCGGCCATTATATCGGCTATCGGCCTTTGTTAAAAGTTTTATATCGGTATCGGTCCCAAAAAAAGCATATCGGTCGGGCCCTAGTTTTAACGTTGCAAATCTGCAACGCCTGCCTCCAAAGGGTTAATAACGATAAATGTCTGATTTTCAAGTTAGTCTGGAAAATAAATTTTCCCATGACTTCATGAATGCATACTGCATTGTTGTCAGTTTACAACACTCCACAATGATCCAATAGATGTGCCACAAGGCATGCTGGGTGGTAGTCTTTTGAAATATGTCTGTCTGCAACCATCTGATCAGCTCAGATAAAAAAAAATCTGTTCAACAGCAAATGGTAAATCCCTCACCTCTTCAGTTTTGAGCAGAAACCTCTAATTTACATATTGACTGATTAAACAACTGATTTCAGGACTCTAAACACATTTTATGAATTGGGGCAGAATCCCAAAGTTTGAGTTAAGATGATTTTTTAAAATAAATTAACCACAATGTAAAGGTTCATTTAACTGTATTCATTTCTGGTGAAACGGGCTCCTCTGCAGTTATAGCTGACTTATCGTAACACCTATCCTGAAAAATAACCTCATCTTATAAATAATAAGACAAGTTAAGTGTTATTAAGTTTAATACCAGTACTCTGGTTAGTCTTCTGCAAGTCCTGACCTGCTGGCGTCACTCTGGTGTCTGCATACAGATAAGCAGGGGGATGGTAGGAACTTCCTAGTCTGTGTGGAGGTAAGCACTTCTCATACATGCAATAATAACAATCAGCTTTAGGATCATAGACGGACCTGAGAATTGAAGCAAAAGGGTAACATGTCTTTTAAAACATGTGAGTTTGTGGATTATGTTACTTTTTTAAGCTCAGTGTAATGTTACATTCCAATTTTGTGTATGTATAAATTGTATGTGTATATATATATATATATATATATATATATATATATATATATATATATATATATATACACACACACATATATATATACACACACACACACACACACACACACACACACACATATATATATATATATATTAGATAGAATTGAAGCTACTATTACTGAACAAAATCAACAAACAACACAAACAGGCAAGCAGCAAATGGGAAATTGTTACTGGGGAACTATTTGAGGCAGCTACCCTACTGCTTTTTTGAGCATTTAATAATTAACAGCATGTCACGTGTTGAGAAAATTCACCTGTGAAGACTCATGGTCTACTTTTTTAGCCGTTTCTTAGCAGTAGGACAGGTGTCAGCTTGAATTACTTTAAAGGTGTGGAACACTGAAAAAACTTTTCTTTTTTACTGATAATTTCTGAATTTTACCAGTTACTACGTTTTTCATGCAAGCTTAACATGGAAAAAGACACCCGTCTCCTGCATTAGCTTCTGATAGAAAATACTAGTAAAACTCTAGGATTTGAAAAGCCTGACAGATCTACGTCACACTGTCACTTACATTCATGGACTCACCCATCTTAACTCGTGATGGGAGTGCTGTTTTTGGTTTAGCATCCAGGAAACAGCTGAGAATGTCTCAGCTAGTAAAAGCTAATCATTCGCATTAGCAACTCCACCACACAGCAGAACTTCTTCAGGCTTGTGCTATTTGTGGAGATAAGACATCAAATTTGCTAAGTAAACAGTCAGTGGTGAAGATACGTTGCATATATCCAATCTGAGGCGAGATGTCCAAATATCAGGAAATAAGACTCCAAATTAGGGGTGGGCAGTATGGGGGAAAAAATCGTATCAAGATTGTTTATTTTTATTTATTTATTTATTTATTTATTTATTTGCAAAATTGCGATCACAATTTTAGCGCGATTTATTTATTTTTTTTACATTTCAACAATTCAGATGTTTTGGAAGTTATTTACCAGTAAAACACATCAATTTAAAAGCATACCCTGTCACAGAACATGGGATAAAACATTTCAGAATCCTAAATCCTAAACTTCCAATAGCCATTTATCCATCCATCCATCCATCCATCCATCCATCTCCTCCTCTACCCATCTATCTACCCATCCATCCATCCATATACACTCATCTACCCATCCATCTATCCATCTACTCCTCTACCCATCATCTACCCATCCATCCATCCATCTCCTCCTCCACCCATCTATCTACCATCCATCCATCCATCCATCCATATACACTCATCTACCCATCCATCTACTCCTCTACCCATCATCTACCCATCCATCCATCCATCCATCTACTCCTCTACCCATCCATCTACCCATCCATCCATCCATACACTCATCAACCCATCCATCTATCCATCTACTCCTCTACCCATCCATCTACCCATCCATCCATCCATACACTCATCTACCCATCCATCTATCCATCCATCCATCCACTCATCTACCCATCCATCCACTCATCTACCCATCCATCCATCCATCCATCCACTCATCTACCCATCAATCTACCCATCCATCTATCCATCCATCCATCCATCGATCCATCTACTCATCTACCCATCCATCCATCCATACACTCATCAACCCATCCATCTATCCATCTACTTCTCTACCCATCCATCCATCCATCCATCCATCCATCCATCCATCCATCCATACAATCATCTACCCATCCATCCATCCATCCATACACTCATCTACCCATCCATCTATCCATCCATCCATACACTCATCTACCCATCCATCCATCCATCCATCCACTCATCTACCCATCCATCCATCCATCCATCCACTCATCTACCAATCCATCCATCCATCCATCCATCTACCCATCAATCTACCCATCCATCTATCCATCCATCCATCCATCCATCCATCCATCTACTCATCTACCCATCCATCCATCCATACACTCATCTACCCATCCATCCATCCATCCACTCATCTACCCATCCATCCATCCATCCACTCATCTACCCATCAATCTACCCATCCATCTACCCATCCATCCATCCATCCATCCATCTACTCATCTACCCATCCATCTATCCATACACTCATCTACCACATCCATCCATCCATCCATCTACTCCTCTACCCATCCATCTACCCATCTATCCATCCATCCATCCACTCATCTACCCATCCATCTACCCACCCTCCCACCCATCCATCCATCCAGGGCTGCAGCAGCCAATCAATAAAATCAATAAAAAACAATAACGAAATGTGTTGGCAACCTTTTTTTTAACAGTCAATGTGCGCATCTCATGTGTAGTCAGCAACAGAGAAGATCAGAAAGAGAGAAAGTCAGTGTTTAGATGAGGAACAACACACTTAGAACAGTAAGTTGCTTACTGACGCACGATGAGCTAATCTAGGTGGTGGGGAGGAAAACAGAAACCAGCAAAAACACAAAGGCAGAAACGGTTTGAGATCAAAAGCGCAACTACTAGCAGATTAGCTAATGCTAGCGGGTAGCAGGCTCACAATCAAGAGGGGTTCCACAAAAACACCATGTGCATGGCATAACATGGCAAGTATTTGTAGTAGAAGTTGCTGATATTCCAAAAACATAAAATACTGTTTAGATAAAATATGGTCTCTGCACAAGAAGCTTTTAGTGGTAGATTGTAAATGATTAATCTCAATTATAATGTCTTTAAAATCGAATCAAGTAGCACTGATGCTAAAAACTACACACTAAAAACAAAAGGTAAAATAAGCCTTGTCCAAGTTTCAGTGTGCTTTTTTATCCACCTTTAGCTGGCAAAATAAAATTAAATGATAAAACATTATTTTAGTAATTAACAAATGACCTGCCCTGGAGTTCGCTGACTGGGCGTTTCTTTAGTTACTAGAGGTGCCAAAAAGTTTTTTTGATTCACTTCTGAATTGAGATTCTTATTCTTTTCCATCGATTTAAAGGTTCTGATTCAGTCCAAAGTATTCCAAACATTTCTTAACTTATTCTCTGCTCATGCTGTTTGTCAGTCAATAGCTTCCATACTGTACCATTTAAGCAACTGATGCGTGGACTTCCAGAGCAACTCAAGCCTTCACTAGCATTCACAGCTCACTACATCACACACCTGGCAGATTTTTAACTTACAGACAGTAGTTAGTCCTGAAGTAGGCAATATTATTTGTTACTGAGTACTGATTGTGATTTGATTCGATTCAATAATCAATTCTGAATCAAATCTTCACCCCAAGAATCAGAATCAAATTCAATTGTGAGTTGTAAGATTCACACCTCTATTAGTCACTGCTGGTGTTGAGAATCCAGAACAGTTAATGGTGGATATCTGAAGCACATTTGTTTTTGACTCACTAGATTTTAAATGGGAATTTAAAAAAAAAACTGTGACTTGAAAGATTTCTTCTCAAATTGTCTTGAAAATAACAGAAATTTATCTTTCTTTTGGCACCAAGCAGCAATTTCCTAATGTTGTAATTTCTCGCACACATGGCAATAAAACCCTTCTAGGAACAACACAAGACTCGGAATAAATGAAATACTTTCTTAAATTTAATCGCCGTATCATCCTGCCTTTCCCATGAAGGATCTCTACAGCTCTTCTGTTGTCTGGACTCCGACCCGCGCTCTGATTCCCGACCACTTATTTACCCAGCATCCTCCAGATAAGAATTCCTACACCAGTCAGCCTTCCTGGGAATGACCCTTGATGGTGTACTGATCATGGTTTTAGATTGTAGATTTTATATAGAACTTTCCGTGTCTGTGACACCTCTGGAGAAACACAGACTGATCCGCTGTCCAAATGCTGTCATCGTAGCTGCGCATTCCCCACCCATCTTTTTGTGCTAAAGAACTCCAACTCTCCTGAACACTACTCAGTTCAAAAGACAAACACCATTATTCTGCTGGCTTATTTACTTATTTTAACTGGTGTGGTTTTTCACAGAAGAAGTTGCCAGACCAAAATATTTTTTTCCATTTTGCTAATTAACTGACCAATCTCACGACGGTCAGGGCATATGCAGTATCGGGGCTTGTGCAATATAACTGATGTGTTTCCGTTATTGTTATCTATGCTGTCCTCTGTGTCCACTTTCCTTGACATTTGTTTGTGTTAGTATAATGGGATGACTGTTTTTGTCTCTGTCACGTGACTTGTAAATACTATCTCTGTATGTTTCCACTACTTTGTGTCTAACATCAACCTGCCGGAGGGTCTGCAGATGGAAATTAGCCCAAGGCTATAATCTGGCATATGTACATTTATTGAAATGTTCATTAATATGTATTGCCCCTCTTCCTAAAATAAATAAATAAATAAAATAAATAACTCAACCGTGTGCAAATGCAATGTGTTTTGCGGTCCCCCAAACGGCTGCTCGTGGAGACCCGGGGATTCGTGGACTCCGGTTTGAAGACCCCTCTTTAGTGATTAAAACCATGTTCCTTGTTTCTATCTGTAGTACATAACAGACTACACCTGCCAATGAAACCATCAAAACAACAACAGAAACTAATGCTTTCCACACACAATCAAACATATTCTACATTCTAGTGAAGAGTAAGCTCACATTTTAACATGTAGTCCTTTCATCATCAGGACTAAAAGAAACTCAGCATGAACATGGAGCTGCTACTGCAGCGTGTCAACACTCTTATTCACCTACTGGCATCAAAAGATAACTTGTTAATATCCCATTACCTTAATAACTGATCTCTTGAACGCCATGCTGATAAGTACATGTCTCTGTAACAGTTGAGACACTATTATTGTGGTTCCAAACATAACATGATGAGTTTAACTAACATTCCTCATCTAACCAAAGATTAAATTGGCACAAAATGGAAAAACATGTGTTTGGTTGATTATTTCTTTGTTCCAACAACATTCCTAGGCTA